AAAAGAGAGCTGGTGAAGACTGAGGTCATTAGATTTGCCACTGCCTACCTTAGTCTACAGAGCATGTATAAGAGGAGGATCGCATTAAGGTCTATGGTTGCTTTAGAGGAGTGGAGTAGATGTAAGTGGTCTAGAGATGTCAAGGGAAAGAAGACATGAGATATTGTTCTTTCAAAATATTTTTGGCATGGGGTGAAGCATGCGATATTAGTATTTCTTCCCTTGATGGAATATTTTTAGCATGGGTCGCCTACCGTTTTCTGAAATACTAATATCGCATGGTTCACCCCATGCTAAAAATATTTCGAAACAACAATATCTCATGCCTTCTTTCCCTTGGCATCTCTAGACTACTTACACCTACTCCACTCCTGAAGCAAACATAAACCTTAATGCGATCCTCCTCTTATACATGCTCTGTAGACTAAGGTAGGCAGTGGAAAATCTACTGACCCCAGGCCTCAGTAGCTCTCTCTTTGTTGTAAACTTGTGCATCATGCCAAGGGTAAGTATGTGACTGTATATGAAGATTGTAACCTCCTTAGCCTTTTAAATAATTCCTTTAATTGTATGCAATTCACCAATTGCCTCATGCATAAGATCTACTCAATGTGCAACGCAAGGAGTCCAAAATATGCGAGGCCTCTTCTGTTGAAGCAAATGACTTGCAGCTAGATTGGGAGCAGCATTATGTATGACCACTTGAATTACAAGTTCCTCCCCAACATCCTCAATCCCCTTTTCAATGAAAGAAAATATATAATGCGCATCATGAATATCATTGGAAGCATCGATTGAGCCCAAAAAAACGGTACCTGTGGGACAATTTACTAACAATTTCATGTTACTACTCCTCTTATCACTCCACACATCTATCATTAAAGAAACCCAAATTTAGCCTATCCCTCCTTAGGAGTCTTGAGATATGTTAGTGTACTCGACTTCTTTCTTCAGTAGTGACTCTCCAATCTCATAAGGAGTTGTAGCTTTCAAACCTGGCCAAATTGCCCAATTACTTCCAACATTGTATGGAAGCTATTCAAGCGAGCAGTGTTAAAAGAAATGCCCGCATGGTAAAACCACCGAGCAATATACTGAATCACCCTGGCTCTATCTTCCTTCGTAAATCTATTTTCAATTGTCACTTGTTTTCCCCCTTTCTTCCTTTGCCTTTCTCAATTACTGTCTTAGGGCTAGGTGTAAAAATCCTATCTATAGGCCCTCTCCTACAAGGCTTCTTAGACCCAAAAGCCCTCTTGGTCTTAGAGCTCTTAGTACCAACCATGGCTACCTCTTCTTCAGTGTCAATATTATCATAAAAAATATGGACCCCTGTCTTTAATTTTGCTATATCTTTTTCGTTTATTGTAATTTTTTTACTATTTTCACCTTCAATGTATTCCAAAATTTCTTTCTTTATAAGATCTAGGACTTTCTTACATGGGGCAACATCACCTCTAATACCGGCAAGATGTTTCTTAAATCTATTTATGTCGGCATTAGAAACATGTCCACAAAAATTGCACATAATTTTATTTTTGTCATTCTTTTCGGGGTTAACACAATATTTCCATCTCGGTTCTCCACCCCTATTAGACCCCGCAGAAGACATCTAAAATTGGAAAAAATAAAACTCAAATAAAGATTACAGATTGACCTTTTCTATCCAATCTCTGATCTTCGATGTTGGTTACCTCAATCGAGCTACGAATCAACTCAAAAGTCTTCTAATACGACCAATAGCACCCTAAAACTAATTTCAACGAGAAAAGAAAAATTTTTCAATCCACAAAAGAGTACTTTCGATTATCAAAAATTACTTAAGATTCTCATAAATAAGTTTAAGATTGAGGGACTTTTCTTTTTTTTCACTTTGGGGTTCAAAAATAAACCCCAAAACTTTTTTATACAAACTTGGGGGTCAAAATGACCCCCTTTGCCCTTTTGGGCGAACTTAAATATGATAAAACGCCCCATTGCCTTGGGTGCCCACCCAGAACTGGGCACTGGGCGCCAGCCTAGCCCGCCCAGGTACAACCGCCAGTGTAGGGGCGCCTGGGTTGAGGTGTTGAAAATTTTTTTTTGGCCGGGTGGACAGTTTTTTAAAACATTGGTTTGGGTACTAGGGTGGTGTTTTGATTAAGAATTTCATTTTCCTTTGATCTGATATTGTATTTACTTAACATAATTAACCCAAGATTCGGCTTTTAGCATTTAAAAGGGGTTTAACCAATTTTTGTTTTAGTAATGAAGCAAAGTTATCAACTTTCATATGGTTAGTCCTTGGCCCTATGTATAGAGTAGAATCCTCGGGGAAATAAAGAGTTTTTATCAAAGAGTTTTATCTAGCACCATTCAAAGAATGGAATGGCATGCTTGGTATGTTGACTGTTGCGCTTTTCTTTCAATTTCTTAGGTTCATTTGATTAAAAAACTTACGAAGCATCTAACATGGAGGGAAGAGGTGAAGATGATTGACTTTAGTTGGTTGCCAATGTCAAAGAAGCCATTCTTTGATGCCAATGTGTGTATTTTTCAAGAGTGGAAAACCATGGTACATTTTTGAGCTAATTTGCATGGCTCCCACCCTAATGATTTAAAAGGTGGCTTGCCTTGTTGACTAGGAGCAGCCTTGTGGTGGAGCACATATCCCCTGCCAGGCCTAGGTAGGCAGCCGGAGTAGGGCTGCGTGCCGTGAGGTGCGCATCTGGCATGACATCCGTAGGCGATAAATGGCTGTGGGTCAAGGGCATTTAGTCATCTTCATCGCCTCCCAAACCCAACCTAACCCTGCCCTTGGCGAGCAAAAAAAACGAAAAAAAAAGAAAGATAAAAGGAAAAAGAAAATAATTGTTCTCTAAACCCCTATGTATTATGATTCATATATGATTCTTATATCTTGTTAAAACATTTGGATTCCATGTCATACTCATGAAATCGCCGTCATAGTTACCAGAATCTCTTACTTAAGGTTGTGATTTTGATTCAGAATCTCAATACTGCGATTCAGACAAGGAATCTTCACGAAATCCGCTTATATGAAGTCAGGAAACTATAGAATATCGTTTCTAATATTTATTGATTCTCTTATGTGGGCTGCCATTTTTACCTCTTACATGGTACTGTAACTATTATCTATGTTTATAAAATCAAACAATTTCAAAAAAAGAAAAAATATTTATTGATTCTCTATTTCAAAATTGTTGAATCTCGATTCTACATTTTTTGAATCTGGATTCCACATATAATTATACTCTCCATCAAATTAGAAACACAAACATAGGGCCATGAACTACAAAATAAACAATTTAGAACCAGACCACTTGAACTGGGCCAAGTGAAGCTCAACTTTGATGATTGCTCCCTCGGCAACTTTGGCCCTACTGGCATGGGGGGTTCCTTTAGAGACTCCAACGGAAACACCATTCTTTCCCCCTCCCTCTTCGTCGGACACACCAACTCCTATGTGGTCGAAGCTCTGGCCCTCCTCATGGACCTTTACAAATTCAATCCTTTGTGGACGAATTCCCTCATTATAGAGGTGACTCAGAAAATGTTCATAGCCTGGGCTACCATATTGTCACCTTACCCCTGAAGATTGGCTCGCATATTTTACAAAATCTTTCACATTTGCATGGATACATCCGTGGTCTTTCGGCATATCTAGAGGGAGGCTCATAGCAGATCATCTCAGAGCCATGTGAGCACCTTTTTGAGATCTAAACGTCTATTTTATCACATTTTTGTATCATGCATGTATGGCATTCTTTGGACCCTTTAAGGGTATTTTGTATAGGCCTTGAGGGTGTTCCGTTTCTGTACACTTTGTACCTTTTTGCAATAAAAAAACAATTCAGAACCTATGAGAAGCATCAAATCTGAAATTCGATTCGAAAGATATTTGAATCTCGATGAAGGAACCTCGATTCCATATGGGTTATTTCCAAATAGGTTTGAAACTCGATTCCGTAGAGGATGGAATCTCGATTCTCGTATATGTAGGGATCCTGATTCCATTTGGGTCGAATCTTGATTCCTATAATGTATAAATCTCGTTTCCTACAATTCCCCTTGTACGAACGTTGATTACGAAAGCATGAATCTTCTAGCCATCTGCGATTCCTTTCCAATTCCTAATCTTAGTTGGGAAAAGGCTTTGACGATGATGATGATACTCAGAGGCATAAAGAGTGATTCCGTTAAGCACAGACTTATTCTCCATGCGTTAGGCATGCTCTGTAAATTGGTTTATAGAAAATTTAATTTGTTTTGGTTTGTTTTATAAAAGGTTTTACTCTGGGTTGCCTCGACCATAAGGTGTCTGTTGAGGCACATTTTTAATGAGCCTGCTAATTGTTACCTCTGATAGTTGTCTTTTCATTCTTTATTTTGTATGTAAGACCACCAGAATGGAAAAATCAAAAGATGCCTATAAGACAACCAGAACTAGTCAGACTCTGACCTCCATAAGGCATGTTGACTTTTCTGTACATAGTTGGGAATTTCTGGCTGTTTGGCTGGTGCATGCCTGTTGGTAATATGCCATTTATTTGTTTGACTGCCGTGATATGCTCTCTGGAGACCATTTTATGCATTTTTTTCGAGGATTAATGTTTTATTGAATTGTGAATTCCAAATATCTAGGGTGCCCATTATTAATGAATCGTCCCTTTTTTTTTTCCACACTGGTATTATCTGTGGATGATTTTCATGTAAGATGTTTTAATCTTGATATGCAAATCTGAGGATTGGCAATTTGTCGTGATATGCCATAAGGACCTGAACATTCTTTAATACCATGTTTGTCTTGAGTGAACATAATGTTCAACCAGGCAACTCGATTAAACTACTGCTAATTTTTTGTTGCGTGCATCATGTGATTCTAGATCTACCTTGTTTGTTTGATGTTCTTCGAACATGATAGTTTGGGTATATTTAATGATAAAAAGAATACTGTGGTTGCTAGATACGTGTTAACTGGGTGATGCATGTCTTTGCAGCGAGAGTTGGTTCTTTGTTCTCATGACATACTTGCCTCGAAAAGAGATTGTGTGGCTTTCTCTGTCCTCTTTCATAGTTCCTTCCTTCTCCCAGATGTGAGCTCAGGATCTGTCACTACCTCTCTAAAAGGGCACACTGAAGATAACAAATCTTGTGGGGAAACGATTCAAAGATCAGACGAGATCACTGTAGACAGTGCAGTTTCTAGTAAGTTTAAAGATGCATCAAATGTCCAGTCAAATATTGACTTAAGGGGAGTCAACAGTTCCACATCACACAGGACTTGTACACGGAAGTCTGCAGAAAGATTGCCAGTTGCTGGGAAGCACCTTCCCAACCAATCCATTTCTGCTTCTATGGAGTTCCGAAGTCCAAGAGATGATGGAGATAGGAAGTTGAAGTCGAGAAAGGTACATGAATAATATTTTTCTCTGGGGCTGCAATAGGTGGTGAATACTGACCTCCCTCTATACTTGCTTTTGCAGCACATGGAGACTCTTCAGAGGGAGGTTGTAATGACACCAACTGAAGCTTCAATGCAAAATCAGCGGTTACCTAAAGGGTATGCATATGTCCCTATGGTTTGCCTCTCAAAAGGCAAGCCAGCATCACCTGACACAGAGCTGCATGATGCATGAAAATTGAAGATGCTGACCCACTTAATGTTTCTTTGAGAGAGGCCACTATATTGCATGCATATTCTGATGGTGCGAATTTTACGCCTGCAAACTTAATTCCTTAGAAGAGGAAGGATGAAAGAAACCAACAGATGATGTTGATGTATCGTCTTGTAGAGCGTTTGTGCGATTCAGAAAATTTTGGGATCAGCTTGTGTATTCTGAGAGTGAAGTGTACAAAAGATGAGAGATGGTTTTTACCATTGTATGTAAGAGATCTGAAAGGGATGGAGGATGCGTCAGTTAAACAACTCCATGCTTGCTCTTCCTTTGTACTATACATATATTGAAATCAAATGATTCTTATGTTGTAGGCTGTAACTTATTGTTTTATTGATATGTCCATCAACATACTTACGGGGTCCAAATTTTTTTCACAATCAATATTGATTTACGGTGTCACTAGAATTGATTGCCGGCAGGTGCAATATTATGTGGATCACTTTTTGAGATTGTAACGGCTGAGCGATGGTCTTCAATTGAGTAAGCTATAGTATTTCCGTCTATTCATAGGTGGACACCAAGTTATCTGCATGTGCATGAAGGCCTGGTAAGATTTGAGTCTTATATTTTGAATAAAAATCTGTTGTAAAAAACAAAAAAGGAAACGTGCTGGAAATTCTGTTCATAATCTCATCATTATCTTGCAAGTGGGCACTGTACCTGCTTAGGTAATGTTATGGAGGAGTGTATTTTTCTGTTGTCTATTTTTTTAAGTGATTGAATCGACTGACATTGTTCTTCCTTGCAGGTGGCAATGAGCATCAGATACTTTGGTGGATTGGTTCATGAGCATGCAACTTACTCTTCTTGCATACTTCACTGCTTGTTTTTATCAATTGAGCTCTCATGGCATGCTTCCTTAACTAATCATAAAAGAAAAAGAATGACTGGTTCTTTGACTACTGTTTATCCTATCTATTGCAGAACTGTCCATTCTGCTCTTGCAAAGACGTCAGTTATAAGCTCGGTGTTGGTACACCTACCTCTTGTTGCAGAATTGTAAGATATTGGATTGGGTTCGGTGTTAGATCATTTCCTTTGTGTATCAAATGTAGATTGCCCTTGAGGTTTTAACAGCCAGGATCCTTTTAGTAGATTTGCTCATTAAGTTTCGTTTAATTCATGGTCTGATGTTTCTGCTATTTTATGAGGCCAACCGACCAAAAAGGAAAAGAAGAGCTGTTTTATTAGACCTGGAATATGTAAAAATATTAGGATTGTTCTGTCATCATGATTGGGCTTTTAACTATTACAAGCTGTATGTATTGTTTATGAAATACGACATTTCTTCGACTAGTTAAATCAAGAATATCATAGATTATTCACATCAAACATGTTATCCCCCTTGGTACCTCTTGTTGCATAATTGTAAGATCTTGGATTGGGTTCGGTGTAGCTCATTTACTTTCTTTATCATTGAAAGCTTTTTGGACGTGTCCGTAAAATTTAGATTGCCCTTGGGGTTTTAACCACCAGGGTGCTTTTAGGAGATTTGGTCTTTATGTTTCGTTTAATTCATGATCTGATGTTGCAGCTATTTTATGAGGCCAACCAATCAAAAAGAAAAAAACAGCTGTTTTATGAGCTTGTAATACATACAGCTTGTTCTCTCATCATGATTGTGCTGTTAACTATTACAAGCTGTATGTATTGTTTATGAAATACGGCATTTCTTCAACTAGTTGACAAGAATATCATAGATTATTCACATCAAACAAGTAGTTCCCCTTGGAAATTACGTTAAAGATGGAAATATTTGAGTGCTATCATTCAGTGTGCAAAAAATTGGTGATAGGGGTGCAAATTGGACCCTGTTAACCTAGACCCAGGAAGTGGATTTGACGGGTTTGGATCTAGCCTAGATGGGTAACTTGTTCTTCATGCATTTCTTGTATTGTTTCATGGCTCATGCCTGGCTTGATTGTCTTGATATCTACATCAACCAACTCCATTTTGTTATAGTTTCTTTGTGTTTTCCTTTTCATTTTGTTGGCGTAATTTTCTGAGATTGTTGAATTTAAATCAGAAAGCATTTTTAGTTCTTTATTGAGTTTTAAATGGTGTTTTACCAAGTCCATGCCAAAGTTCTCGCCAAAGTTCTCACATTAAGCGACCACTTCTCTTACCATTGCGTCACTTACCATGCTTATTGTTACCCATGTACTCTCTCTCCCGCATCATTTAGAGCAGCCCCTATTTCAGTATGTGTTCATCATTTTGAGTACCCTTAAATGTAGAAAACCGGTTGATAAGTGCTTCCCAATTTTAAGGTGAATCTTGGACCTAAGATCTTGTGCATCGAGAGTAACGGGGTGTAACTGTCTAACCGGCAACTCGAGCTTATTAATTTGGCTTCTTATGATCTAAGTCATATATACACATTTAGTTGAGTCTTGTATTTGGAAGATTGAGTTAATTTGTGTTTGTGAATTATGTGTTTGAATGTATTCATGTGAAAACATATAAGCCACATTGTCTTAAAGTTTCTATCAATCTTAAAGGGGTGAGGTTTGTATAAGGTTGCCTCCTTATACGGTAGAAGTAAGGCGCACCTATAAAATTTACTTAGAGATGCCATTTCGATATTGAAAATCTTATGAGGGTTTCAAAATCTCTTTTTATCTTCATTTATAAAATTTAAAATTTTAAAAATAATATAGATCGAACAAATCAAAAAACATTTGCAAATCTTGAAAATAGAAGGTCCAAATAACTTGTTATAAGATATACTATTTTTGGAAATTGGAATTTCTTTTTTTTCTTCATGTCCATTCATCTCTAGGTCGAGATGATCAATTGGAGGGTTCTCCTAGGTTGGAACACTCTCCATTGGAGGATTTTTTGGGTGCACCTTATTTCTACAGTATAAGGTTGCAACCTTATATTAACTTTTTCCATCTTCAAGTGGTTGTATGGGTGGAAAAGTGTTGGGGACAAAAGTGACGTATTTAATTTTATTTCGGACTGTATATAATTCTTTAGAAATGTTTGTAAAGGTGTCTAAGCTACTGTAATTCATGTAAATACAATGTAAATGAAAGTTCAAGCTGATTATAAGTTTAGACACCTTTACAAACTAGAAAGATTATTCTTAGAAACAATACATAGTTCAAAATTTGAGAACCTCAGATGTGATTGTTGTTTTTGGAGCATTGAAAAGGGAATGTTGCAATAATGTTTTTAAGTCTACTTTCATGTGGTATATCATGTAGAGCTTGGGATATACAGGGCAATCTTTGAGGAGTGCCAATTCTGAGTATTTTAGCACATATAGCGTAGGGTTCTTGCGTCATGATTCGGTATGAGGTTAAAAGAGGTCGTTCTTGTTATTTTAGGAAATCTAATTTCAGAAAAAATAAATTTGAGAGAAAAACACTTCCATCGTTTGGGCGATATGGTCATTTTATAAGAGGGTGCTCATCCTGTGTTTTCTATTGTGAAGTGACTCATTGAACCACGGTCCCCTCATGGCTGGCGTTTTGGTTGCATCCCTTAGTTCCAATTTTGAGTTTAGATTGTAGAGGAATACTTCTCATGAGGAATTCTCGTGTATATTTGGAATTATTTCTTTTTGGATTTGAGGCTACTCAGTGCAGAAAAATTCAGAAGTCATATCCTACGATTTGCACAGGGGTAATGGATGTCCTTATGGACTCACACCATGGGACATCTAATTATGAGTCTTTTGGGACTGTATATAGTATATTTGATCATTGGGGAACCTCCACTTGATCATAAATTCAAAATTGGATCTTGCAAGATCTGTGATTTGAACGATCTTTTATGCTGATTTTACTTTCTAGAACCCCAAAGGCACATACTGATGGATTGGGCCGCCGGCAGATAGAAATGACGCGCAAAAAAGGTGGATCGCGGATCAAAGCATGGCGTCATAGGTCGATTGAGGAATAATGTATTACCCTTATCAACAGAGTATCAAAACAAATTTGATTTCCAATTCCATATATAAGTAGAGTATGGTAAAATATCTTGGCATAAAATGAGAAGTTATAATATGAAACACATGAACTATGAACTTGAAAAAACTAGCATACGTGCTGGTGCATGCTCCTTATAAAGGTGGTGAATACTGGCAATAGGCTTTGGTGTCTTGATCCTTGAGGACTATATGAGAATGTGTCTTGATCCTTGAGGACTATATGAGAATGTCTTGATCCTTGAGGACTATATGAGAATCATGTATGGGCAATGTGTGATATCAGAACTTGGTGTATGGACATTCGCAATATCAATTTATCAGTATTATTTGGTAGTGCTCGAGGAGGATTGTCATACTCCAGAAGGTATTTCGTACTTTTCAAAATGTCCAGATAACAATTATGCAACTTGTTCACTTCAAGGAAGCATCTGCCGCCTTATCCAGTCTGTCTTTGTAATGTGACGATGGTGATACCTTCGGTCAAATGAATAAGGAATGGCTCATCCGGGGAGAGGTTTTTTGGTCAATGATGGTATGACATGTATAGGTCGATGGCATGATATGTATATAGGTTCTGCAGATCCCTCCCTGCTGCTATCCCTGACTTTGCAGTGCTTTTACCCTAGCTCCGATTGATTGGGAAATGGGACTGAAGGGGGGGGCTAGGGTCTACTCGATCAACCATAAAAAAGCCAATATGATGTTGCTTTCTCCCCAACACAGTTGAGTAGCTAAAGCTCCTCTAATTCAATGGGAACTGAATATGCACCAGGAGGCTTCCATCTTGCACCCCGCTCCCACTTCCACCTTCCTCGTAGGATACCTGTTGTCCTGGTTTGGATTGAATTTTCAAATTGTGGCAAACTTAGTGATGCTTAGGTCTCGGCACATCCTATCTATGAATTAGCATGTTTTATGGCCCGTGTTGCTTTTGGTTGAAAGAGATTTTATGTTGAGATGAAATATTTTTGAAAAATGTATAGATTTTCACCAATTTTGGCAGCTCCCCACACTGAAATAAGTTGAGTACGGTATATGCATGTTCAAAGGCCAAAACATGGCAGCCTTTAAAACATAGTTTGCAAACAAAAGACTTCCTAAAGCCAAGAGCATGAGCTCAAGCTGACATGAGAAACCAAATAATGAGATCTTAGTTTTAATTGGTTTTCTTGCTCCACAAGTGTTTAATAAGATTAATGACTAAGTAATGCTCCCATAACTTCTTTGTACACCCGATCCTTCGAAGAGAAGGATTTTTCAAGGTTTTGCTGTCATAAACTAGCAATGAAGTAAAAGTGTACTTCATAGCCACGAACCTTAAAAGAGTTCTAAAATAAAGTTTACTTGAGTTCATTGGAATTTTTTAAAGAGAACATGT